ATAATAAAAAGGAATTGCTTAGTGTGTGTCAAGCACAGCAGTTAAAAAAGACAAAGAAGGAAGAATCATATGAATAACTTTGTAGGTTCTTTAGGTTGTTTGCATCTGTGATTTTTTTTTTTTTTTTTGATACTTGCTTGACTTGTCAAAAGGAAAAAATAACTTAAGATGATGGATGGCTAGCTTTGTTTAGTTAATGTCTTATGAAATTTTCATGAGTAATTCAAACATAATTGTTAAGATCAAGTAAATTAAATAGGTAAAAATGGGATAAAAGTTTATAAATGAACTTCTCAGTGATCATTCTGTTTTATAATAGGTCTTAAAAATAGTTTCAAAAACCTTTTTATAACTTTAAGTGTTCAAGCTATACAAAGTTAAGTTAATCATGGATATTTATTGACTATTTAGATCTCATTTCCAAATTAGAGAAAATATTGAAACATTAATTGCTGAACATTAATTTTATTTACTTTTGGCATTTCATTTTTAATATGGTATAGAAAATCTAAGTATACTTGAATCTGTGAATAAACATGATAAAGTTGTGCTATGAAAAAGACACATGTCTGTAGGAATTATGAAATGATAATCTTAAACTTGCTATAGTATGACAGTATGTGAGTTTACAGTTGCCTGCTTCCTACTTTTCACTAAAAATTTGGGTTTCTGATGGTTAAAAATATAGTCAATATATGTAAATGAAACTACTAGGAATAATAAGGGTAAAGAAAAACTGTATAAAAGGAAAGTAAGATGTATTTTTGATAAGGAAAGGTATGAAGGACATGTTTTTGTTAAGGGGAAGAGTAATTTTTGTAAAATAGAAGGACTGGTTGTTTCAGAATGAGAAAGAAGAAAAGAGTGGGATGAAAACTGAATGGATAATAAGAAAAATTCCTTACAAGATTTGTGGAAAAGGAAGCTTGGAAAAGGAATCTTTCCTTTTCTGGTCAAAGCTGGCCAAGATTGGATGGATTTATTTGTAGGGTTTTTAATTAATTAATTTATTTTAATTTAAAAAAATTTGCCTTAGTATTAATAGCACACTGATGTCAAACCATTATTTGGTTTTCTCTTTGTGTTAAAACAACAAAGTTTTCTTAGATTATTTGTTTGCTCTTAATAAGAAATTGTAAAAAAGGTTGATTTTCTTTACCTTTTAAGTAATATGCCTGGGAAAACAAGATTTTGTGTTTTAAAATAATTTCCTGTGCTTCATATTATGTCAATCAGTTCTTTGATTGAAAACCAGGTGTTCTCAATAGTAAGAGCTAAGAATTTTTGTAACTAGGTAGCTTTCTGTATTTGCCTTTGAGATCTTTTCATGGTGACTTTGGTTAAATGGATAACTAAGGATTGTTTCCCAGTGACCTGTGATCCTGTTTAGTCAGATGATCAAACCTTCTGACCTTTGTGACAGCTTCCCCACATCAGCTCTAAAAGGAGTCTTTTTGACCTCCGATTAATGTTGAGATTTCCTAGATGACCTTTGGAAAATCTCATAGGTTTTGTCTCTCTCCTTATAAAAAGAGACATGTTTAACTAATTAGGCTTATTTAATATGTTCAATTATGTGGCAAGCATTGTCAAAAAAGTGATAATTGTACATACAATACAGGTTATGTGTTGTATGTGTTCATGAAATTGTATGATATTCATAGAAATTTGTTAATACCTTTATTGTTGAGTTATTATCTTAAATTATTGTATGTCACAGAAATAACAAAATGTCCTTGTCAATAGCATTGTGATGAACTCTCATCAGATCTTTAACCTCGACAATTTTCAAGTGTTTTGTCACTCACAGACAGTTACAATTTTACTGTGATTCTTTTCTAGAAGTGTTTATAACCAGCTACAGGTTAGAATGCTCCTTGATGGCATCACTTGAAAACTTTGAGAACTTGCCATTTGATTGTGTAAGAATTTCCAGAACTAATGAAGAAACTGATGGATTCATAAAAACTGTTAACCCAGGATTAAGTAAAACAAGACTTAATTATATGGACCTGAATGAACTGATGAAGAGGATTAAAATTTTTTATAACTTTTTGTTTGAAATATTGCTGGTTCTTTAATTTTTTTTCCAAATTTAAGGAAAACCTTTTCTCTTTTCTTAAGCTAAGTGTAACTTACAGCAATTTGTAATTTATACCTTTGTAAACAACTGAAGCCCTGATCTTTCCTTCCTACCTGAGTGCTCTAGAAATTGGAAGCTCTTAGAGAGTGTTCTTATTTTCATGGCAGTATAGTTATTTATATAAGTTCAGTGAAAATCTGTTCTCCTTTAACAGGATGCAACTGGAAACCTTAGTTATATCACCAAGGTTTTTGTCTGGAATGTTATATTTGAGAATAATATGCATCAGATCAGATATGACCAGACAGTTTTAAGGAACTAAGGTTGACTTTGAGGAGCCAATGTTCATAAACCACACCCCTTGGAAAAACTAGCCTGTATCTGGCTTACAGGGTTTCCTGCCTTATAGGTGGGTAAGTAAGGAAGGTCATTTCTGGCAGGTCCAGGCACCTCAGGGTATTTTGAGAACTTTGAGAAGAGAGGAATTCTCCTATATCTGTAAGCACCACAGGCAAAAAAAATCTAGTGGCGAGTTCTTCATGTGGCTTTCCCAGCCCTGAGAGGCTTTTAAAAGTCCAATCTGAGATTACTTATGAAATGTTCCAGCAAATCAAACTCAAACCAGGGCCTATGTAGTCAGTCACTATTTTTGCTGCACTTATGTAAATAATCAGACCAGGTTTAATGAGACTAAACTTACTTTGCAAACAGATTAGTCTTGCTTTGATTATCTTTGACAGAAATGAGGGTGACTGTAGAGAGAACTTTTTTTTGTTGCAGTAGAAAACTACAGTGTACCCTTGCTGGCTCATTTTGTACATTTTGCCAGATTTTTTTTTTTTTAATTTTTAAAGATTTATTTATTTATTTATTTATTTATTTATTTATTTATTTATTTATTTATTTTAGGGAGAGGTAGAGTGAGCGTGTGTGAGCAGGGTAGGGGCAGAGGGAAAGAGAGAATCTCAAGCAGACTCTGCATTGAGTGCGGAGCCTGACATGGGGCTCGATCTCCTGACCCTGAGATCACGACCTGAACCAAAACCAAGAGTCAGAGACTCAACCGACTGAGCCACCCAGGCGCTCCTTATTTTGCCAGTTTTTCCCAAATCCTGAAATCGTCTAGTTTCCTCCAATAGCTGGGTACAATTTTCCAAAATAACATTTCCAATTTTTTTTCCTTCTGACTTGGAATCATTGAGAATTAAGACCACCCTTTTCCTGAAGTTCTGCAAGCTGAAGCTGGACAAATTGATATAAATTAAAAAAAAAAATTTTTTTTACCACAACAGATCATGTATGGGCAACCTTCCTTCCTCCTGCTGTATGGCCCATTCAGAAAGTTTACCAGAAACGCCTGATGCCATCACCAGAGACATTCAAACTGCCAACCAGGAAGATCTGTCAGGTGGCCAACGCCATCCTCTACCATGTTTCAAGAACTTCAAATCTAAAACTCTGAGTGCTGCCCACTGGACCCAGAATCTGGGTTTCTAACTATTAATCTTTGTTTTTCTTTTATTTTCATAGCAACTGTCCTCATTAAATGCCTGACTGCTAGCCGCATCCAGCAAATGTCCTTTACTACCAAGTTCCAGTAAATGATTCAGCTGATCTTAATGAACTAAAGGCATCCAGACAGAAAAACGATTTATATTGTTCAGAGGAAAGAAGGATGTCTCTTCTTTTCTTAAACAAGAGGGGAGACTGAGAAATAGACCACACTTTAGTCAGGCTGTTGAACCTTCTAGGTGCATTGGTGCACTTCTGTAAAATCTGGTTTTAGTAAGAACTCCTCCCCACCTACCGCATTTCTGATCCCTCTGGACATGTGATCATGTTCCTCATCCTTTACCACCCTCCAGGTGATTTCTGATCACCCTGGCCTGTCTTCAATGAGAATCTGTTAGGTTAGTTTAGCCACACTGCCCCTCAATGCTGATATTTCCAATTAGTAATTTTCTATCCGCTGATCCCCGATACCTTGCCCCTTGGCTATAAATTCCCACTTGGCCATGCTGTATTTGGAGTTGATCCTTAGCACTCCCTCACTGTAAAATGCCATTGCTATGGTTCCTATACCTATCACAGTGGAGCTGAGTAAAGTCCCCCTGACCGTCTTTTTTTTTTTTTTTTTTAAAGATTTTATTTATTTATTTGACAGAGATACAGCGAGAGAGGGAACACAAGCAGGGAGAGTGGGAGAGGGAGAAGCAGGCTTCCCGCTGAGCAGGGAGCCCGATGCAGGACTCCATCCCAGGACCCCGGGACTACCACCTGAGCCGAAGGGAGATGCTTAACGACTGAGCCACCCAGGCGTCCGCCCCCCCGCCCCCGCCATCTTTAACAAGTGTTACTGAATGGTTTTTTTTCCTTTAATGAAGATAACCCTGTCTTTCCACATATGGTTTACAGTACTGAGCTCCCTTAACGCTCAAGGGAGCTTCAGGAATCAGCATTAATTGTCTCCTCCAACTGACACAGATTTTGCCTCTGTACTTACCAGGTTAAAGCAGCGAGTGCTTCTTGTTTATATAGGACTTTTAGGAAAGAGTAAAAGCACTTACTTTTTCTTCTGGAAATATGATATAGTGTATAGCCTTATTTGTACCTTTCCTATGAGATGTATTAGAAAAATTTAAAGACATTACGTATGTTTTTTGCAACCAGCATTTTATGACCATTAGAACAAATATGCAGCCCTGCATTTTTTATGAGGAAGCAGTGCACACGATTTCAGATTTAAGTCAATTCATGAGCTTTTTGTTTTATAGTAGCTCCCTCTTTAAATAATAATTTGTCAGGTAAAAGTTCTTATTCCTGCTTATCTCTTCTAGGAGTACTGCCTTGTGAGTTGTGTTCTTAGTTGTATATAGATTAGAATAATTTTAAATGATGTGTTTTATTCCTCTTCCAGTGACCTTTTGCCCCGAGATTTTGTAGTTTATACCTACAACAAGGAAGGGGCTCTGATCTCTGACCATCCTGATATACAGGTAATATATTTTCCTCTTGATCTTATAGCAAATTTAAAATAATTATAATTTTAAAATGAGTTCTATTTCCCATACACAAGACTGTATATTGCACCATCACCAAGGGCCACTCTTGACATTTTAATACCTGGAGTTGTCCCAGGAAGGGAGTGGGTGGTGGGTGGTGGATGGTGGGTGCCTTTACATGGACTAGACTGTATTTTACAGTTCTCCAGGTACTCGGTAGTCAAGTGTTTTTTTTTTTTTTTTTTTAAGTCCAGGAAAAGAATCTTCTACTTAATGGTAATCCTTACTGCTTATGAAGGGGGAATGTTTGATATATTTTAACATACGTTTAAAAATTTTTTTTTGCTGAAAGTATCTCTGAAAGCACATCTTACTTCCTTATTAAACCATTTAACTTGCCATTAGTTCTTAGTAAAGAAAAAACACTTGTATGTCCTAAGTTTTTACTAAAAACAGTTCTTTTCTGAGGAAATGTGGCCCTCTTTGCATCAGAGAACAGAGTATTCCTGAGGACAGAACTGGCCGGGAATACTTGAAATAATTGGCAGTTGCTGAATTTGGCTTTATGTGTTAATAAATTAGAGCATAAACATTTCCAGTGTCATTTGGGAAGAGTGTTTTTACAGTCCTTTTTGGCAGTTAGGTATTCTATATTTTTTTCTTTTGCATTAGTGTCCATGACAAGTCTTTGTTCCAATTAAACATGTGGTATTTTTCTCCTCAGCTTTGTAATCTTTGGCTCGGTTGAGTTGTTTATGTTAGTTAGGCACTTCTGCAGCACTCTTCCAATAAACAGAAAGCAAACCTTTATTTTAGATTAATTACTAGTACTTAAAAAAAATAAGGATACGCTGACTAGTCTTACTCTTTTCTGATTCACTTTCTGATTCCTTTATTTTAGTGTCTTATTTGTCCATTGTTTAATTACAAACTGGTAGAGCAGCTTAAACATATATGACAGCATAAACCAGATCACAAATAACCCATCTTATCTGTTCATTTAACCATTGAATTATTTATCCAGAGATTATGCCATGAAGCCAAAGACCACGTAGTTTAAGCCACTTGACAAAAGCAGCGATCGTGAAGGGTTGTTTCCCCCCCACTTGGGAGAAGTTTCATGGTGTAGGTTTTGGAGATACACATTGTTTGGACTTAATCCTGGCTCTGTCATTTATTTGCTGGTCACGTTACTTTAACTTGTCTGCACCTTACTATCTTCACCTTAAAATGGGAATAATAATTACAGCTTTGAGGAGTTACTGGAAGGCTTAAATGAGTTAATACTTTTTATTTAAATTGAAGTGTAGTTGACATACAATACTATAATTGTTTTAGGTGTACAACATAGTGATTCAACATTTATATATGTTGTGATGTGATCACCATGACAAATCTAGCTCCCATCTGTTACCATACGAAGTTGTTACATGTTATTAATTATGTTTCTTATGCTGTACATTGTATCAACATTAAATGAGTTAATACTTGTAAGATACTTAGAGCAGATAGCCTAACCATTTTTAACTCAATAAATATTATTACTTGTTATTATTGAAAATATATATGCTTAAAACTGTTAAAAATAGGTTTTGGTCATAGAAATTTATGCAGCTGTTATTTTCAAGTAGTATTATGGAATTGTGCTTTCCTGGGTGATTGAAAAGTATAAACTAAGACTGATGAAGTCTTTAACTTGTTTCTTGGTTATTGAATATTGTTCAGATAGATGAAAGTATGTCTGTAAATTTGAGATACCAATTAAAACTTTGGTACTGGGAATTTTTGGCATATGGCTAGATTGCCAGATATCATAATGACATTACTTTTGTTTATAAAATACAATGAAATAACACTGAGAAAATTTAAACGCTTTCCCTTATGATCTATTATTTAAGATTAAAGTAATTTGTAAAGCTATTACTTGGTTTTTATCATCAGTGTCTTTCACAAAGGCCATTTTTCACAAAAAAACTAAGCTTTAATAACCACTTTATACAAGTTACTGTGTGAAGTAAAACCCCAAATTACTTTGTGTCAGAACTTTGGGGTACCTTGCAAATGCATCAGCCAGTGTCTTCACTAAGTTCCCTAATTAATTAATACTTTTTGTTTCATCTGAAAACTATATTGGCTGCCCTAGGCATTTCCCTCTTAGAGTTCTGTGTATATTTCTCTCCCTAGTTGAGTTTTTTGCTTATAGTTTGCGTGTTTCCAAAACTGTGGCATTTGTGCCTTTACTGTAATCACACAGTTTAATTAGATGTTTTATAAACTTATGAAATATGATTTTTTTTAAGATTTTATTTATTTGACAGAGAGAGACACAGTGAGAGAGGGAACACAAGCAGGGGGAGTGGGAGAGGGAGAAGCAGGCTTCCCGCAGAGCAGGGAGCCCGACGTGGGGCTCGATCCCAGGATCCTGGGATCATGACCTGAGTTGAAGGCAGATGCTTAACGACTGAGCTACCCAGGCGCCCCATGAAATTTGATTTGTTGTTTTTTTAAAGTGCGTTGAAGGCTTTGGAAAGATTTAATAAAACCAAGTCATTTAAAAAAATAACCATCAAGTTGATAGATTCAGCGACTGGATTTCAGTAATGTCAAATAAGAGAGCTTCTACTATAATTGAAACTAGAAACATTTAATTTTGGAGTGCCAGGAGTTACAAGTATTATTATCTCATAAGTGCTACCTCATTGGTAATAGTAGAAGGTATTTATTTTCCTCTAGTGAGAAGAAGGCAATATCAAAGCTAGACTTTAACACAAAAGCACTAGAAAGAAAAACATAAGTGGTTGTGAACTGCCCCACACTAGAAAAAGTTGTAAATGTTGAAATTGAGCCTGTATTTTTAGCATAGAATCGTTTGTTTGTTTATTTATTTATTTATTTAAATTTTCACCACTTTAGACTTACAGGAAACGTTGCATGAATAATATAAAACATTCATGCATCCCCTTCACCTAGATTCTCCAAGTGTTAACATTTTACTTCATTTCCTTTATTCTTTCTTCTCTATTTTTTTTCCTGAACCTTTTAGAGTATATTGCAGATATGGTATTCCTTTACCCTTAAACACTTCAGTGTAAATTCCCCCCCAAACAAGGAATTCTTTTATGTAATTAAGTACAGTTTTCAAAATTAGGAAGGTAACGTTGAAGCAATACTATTATCTAATTTACAGATCTTATTGATACAGATTTTTTTGGCCCATCATCCCAGTAATGTACTTTATGGCAAAAGAAAATCCAAGTTCATGTGCTGCATTCAGTGGTTATGTCTCTGTAGTTTCCTTTAGTCTGGAAATCCTTTGTCTTCTCTTGTATTTCATGACACCGGCATTTTTGGGAAGTACGGGCCAACTTTTGTAGAATGTCCTGCAATTTGAGATTGATGTTTACCCGTGATCAGATTCAGGTTATGTACTTTTGGCAGGAATACCACCAAAGTGATACCAAGTGGTTCTCAGTGTATCCTATCAAGAAGCATGTGCTGTGGTTAGTGTTGTTGCTGACAGTGTTAACTTTGATCATTTAGTTAAGGAATTGTCTGCCCTGTTTCTCCTCTGTTCAGTTAATGTTTTTTTTGCCTTTGTAAATGAATATTATGGTTAGACATTTTGAGACTAATATAAATATCCTGTTACTTCTCAAATTTTTACCCACTAGTGTTAGTATTTACTATTTTCCTGAATTAATGGTTATTATGATGGTGGTTAAAATGGTGATTTCCTAATTTCATTAGTGCTTCTCTATGCATTAGTGCCTTCTGCAAGGAAAAGTTTTCCTCTCTTAATTTTAATTATGTCAGTGTAGACTCACGATTCTTACTTTTTCATGAGTGAGATTGAAAATCTTCATATATGTGAGGGCATTTTTATGTTCTTTTGTGAATTGCCTGTTCGTGTCTTTTGCCCTGTTTTCCACTGGATTTTTTTGTTGCTGTTCCTCTAAGAGTTTTTTTTTTTTTTTTAGTTGAGGTATAATTGACATGAATTATACTGCATTAGCTTCAGGTGTACATCATAATGATTTGATATTTGTATATATTGTGAAATGATCACCACAGTAAGTCTCATTAATATCTGTTATACATAGTTAAAATATTTTTTTGTGCATGTGATGAGAACTTTTAAGATTAATCTCTTAGCAACTTTCATATATGCAGTACAGCATTATTAACTATAGTTGCTATGCTGTCTTTAATCTAATTTTGTGTTAATTTTTATGTATGGTATAAGATGTTGGTCCAGTTTCATTCTTTTCTATCCAGTTGTCTCAGTACCATTTATTGAAGAGACTGGTATATTCTTGGCTCCTTTGTCAGAAATTAACTGACCATATAGGTGTGGGTTTACTTCTGGGCTCTCTGTTCTGTTCCATTGATCTGTGTGTCTGTTTTTATGCCAACACCATACTGTTTTGATTGCCATAGCTTTGTAGTATAGTTTGAAATCAGGGAGCATGATGCCTCTAGCTTTGTTTTTCTTTCTCAAGAAGAGAAAGAAGTGTCTTTATTCTATGTGGTGCTTTTTGTGATTCCAGACAAATTTTAGATTTTTTGTTCCATTTCTGTAAAAAATGCCCTTGGAATTTTGATAGGATTGCATTGAATCTGTAGATTGCTTTGGTTAGTCTAGACATTTTTTTTTTTAAAGATTTTATTTATTTATTTGATGGAGAGAGAGAGACAGTGAGAGGGGAGTGGGAGAGGGAGAAGCAGGCTTCCCACTGAGCAGGGAGCCCGATGTGGGGCTCGATCCCAGGATCCTGGGATCATGACCTGAGTTGAAGGCAGACGCTTAATGACTGAGCCAACCAGGTGCCCCTAGTCTAGACATTTTAACAATATTTGTTCTTCCAATCTATGATCATGGATTATCTTTCTGCTTATTTGTATCTTCTTCAGTTTCTTCATTAATGTCTTATCATTTTCTGTATATAGGTCTTTCCTCCTTTGTTAAATTTATATCTGGGTATTTTATTCTTTTTGATGCAATTGTAAATGGGATTGTTTTCTTAATTTTTCTTTTTGCTAGTTCATTATCAGTGGATATAACACAACAGATTTCTGTATATTGATTTTGTTTCCTGCAACTTTATTGAATTCATTTATTAGTTCTAACAGTTTTTTGGTGGAGTCTTTAGGGTTTTCTATATAAATATTATGTCATCTGCAAATAGTGACAGTTTTACTTCTTCCTCTCCTCTATTGAGTTTTTAATCTTTCCCCTTTGATGTTTAAGAGTTCTTTATAGTTAGGGATGTTAGTCTTCTAGCTGTGATACAAGTTACAAATATTTTTTTTCCCAATCTGTATATTGTGTTTGATTTTGTTTTTTGGTGTTTCTTTCCATGTAGAAATTTGAAAAACTTTTTATGTAGTAAAAATTATCATTTTTTTCTTTTATTGCATATATATTTTGAGTGACAGCCTTTCTCTCCACCCAGGTTAAAGAGGAATTCACCCATATTTTCTTTTAGTTCTTGTATGGTTTTTATTTTTTATGTTTAGATTGTTGATTCATTTAGCTTTTATTCTGATGTATGGTGTGAGGTATGGATCTAATTTTATCCTTTTCCAAATGTCTAACCAGTGGACTGAGCACCATTTATTACAAAAATCCTTGTCCCAGTTCCATATGTACTTTGGTCTATTTCAGGTCCCCAAATTCTTTTCCACTGGTGGTTCTCTCAATTCACCACTGGTACCATACTATTTTAATTATTAAGGCCTTGTGATATGTCTTAATGTCTGGTAGGGCTAGTCTCCCCAACAGCCCTCTCCCCATGACCTTGGCTTTTTTTTAGTGCTTTGAAATGGTTTTTTTTTTTTTTTTTTTTTTGTCCCTAAGAGATTCATTTTATTTTATTTTATTTTATTTTTTATTTTTTATTTTTTTTATTCTTATGTCAATCCCCATACATTACAACATTAGTTTTAGATGAAGTGTTCCATGATTCATTGTTTGTGCACAACACCCAGTGCTCCATGCAGAACGTGCCCTCCTCAATACCCACCACCAGGCTAACCCATCCTCCCACCCCCCTCCCCTCTAAAACCCTGTTTGTTTTTCAGAGTCCATTGTCTCTCATGGTTTGTTTACCCCTCCGATTTCCCCTGCTTCATTCTTCCCCTCCCGCTACCTTCTTCTTCTTCTTCTTTTTTTTTTTTTCTTAACATATATTGCATTATTTGTTTCAGAGGTACAGATCTGAGATTCAACAGTCTTGCACAATTCACAGCGCTTACCAGAGCACATACCCTCCCCAGTGTCTATCACCCAGTCCCCCCATCCCTCCCACCCCACCCCCCACTCCAACAACACTCAGTTTGTTTCCTGCGATTAAGAATTCCTCATATCAGTGAGATCATATGATACATGTCTTTCTCTTTTTGACTTATGAAATGGTTTTAAAAGGAGAAAATCTCATTGTGTAGTAAAAAAAAATCTGATATTAGTGATAATATGCTTGTATTTCCAATGGCCAATTTGTTGTTCAAAATTAAGGATAAAGCCTCTTTTATTTTTTAAGATGGCTAAATGTAAAACTAATAATAATAAAATTAATATAAATATATGAAGAAAAGAAAATCATGGGATCAAAATTACTTTTTGCCACATACTCATTTTTCTTCCCTCTTGGCAGCATTAGCTTGTCACAGGATCTGCTGCTGTGTTAGATGTCAGTTGGTTGCTGTTGCTTCTTGGATGACTGTGATCTAAGACGTTAAACATGACATAATGCTGTCTTGTTCTGCTTCTAGGCTTAAAGGTTATTGGGGTAGAGCTGTTTGTAGTTAGTATCCTCTGGAGTTCTGCCTAAACAGTTGTGTACTTGTAGGGTCATAATAGATAGTCCAAAGAATGCCATTGATATTATAAGATACCAGTGATATAAACAAAATTATTAGTTTACTGACCTTAAATAATTTTGTTAGCTCTGTAATTTCTGTGATGAATTATAGCCATGTAACAGTATTTGAAGATAATACAGTTTTTATCGTTTAGAATCATTGTCATTATCGGGGCTATGTGGAGGGAGTTTATAATTCATCCATTGCTCTTAGCGACTGTTTTGGACTCAGGTAAGGAATTTTCTGTGTCACCTTTTTTTTTCTTTCTTCTATTTCTTACCCTTTTACCTATCTCTGTTTCTAAATCAAGTCATTTTGAGGGACTTAACAAAATTAGATTTTACTTTGGTATTGCTGAAGATCTTTAGAGCTATGTATCGGGTATCATTCTTGACACGTTTATTTAAGAAAATATTACAGTTGGTGAGTTTCAATATCTAAAGAGAAAATTTTGTTGATTTGAGACTGCTAAGTAATTTTTGCTATTTTAAAAAGCATACTTTTAATTTCTGTAGCACTCTATAAATTTTCACCTATCTTCTTTCATCTAAGTCTCATAATACCTGTGAAAAGGGGCTCACTCTCTCCCTATTTAGGTGATGAGCAAACTGAGGTTCAGAGAAATTGTACCACATATCAAGTAAAGTGATAATAATATTAAAATTATATTTATTGAAGGCCTGGCAATATGATGCTATGTGCTGGCTCGTTGGTTATATGACTGATTGAACTAATAAATATTATTTTAATTCTCAAACCAGCTGTATAAGATGGCTATAATTATCTCCATTTAAGTAATAGCACGGAGCAATTACTGTGTGTCAGGCCATCTACTGAGTATTTCACATTTATATAATAATTTAGTTTTCAGAACAACCCCATGTAGAATAAAGTAAGGTAGAGGTTAAGTCATTGCTGAGAGTCCCACAGCTAGGAGGAAACGTTTGGGATTCCAGTGCTGGTTCTCTGGCTCTAGACTCCATACTTTTAGCCACTATTCTGAATTAATTTTCATTATACATACAGCAGTCACTTGGAGAGGTTAACTGACTTTTAGGGAGTGATATTAGTGAGTAGCAGTCTTGAGTTTTAAATTTACATCTGCATGACTCTAAAACCTAGTATTTTTCTCTATACCATACTACCCTTTCTTATACATGTTAAGAACTAGGATTTGAATTCAGATTTTCTGATTCCTTTTCTTGTGTATTATTTTCTTCATTCTTAAAAATTGTGTATGTGTAATGCAATACTTAGAGGATTGCTGCATATAGAGAATGTGAGTTACGGGATTGAACCCCTGCAAAACAGCTCTCGTTTTGAGCACATCTTTTATCGAATGGATGATGTCCACAAAGAGCCTCTGAAATGTGGGGTTTCCAACAAGGATATAGAGAAAGAAACCATAAACTATGAAGAGGAAGAGCCTCCTAGCATCACTCAGCTACTTCGAGTAAGGAAATATATTTCTTAATGGCTCAGACTAAAGTGTTAAAAAATCATGTATTTATGCATTAAACCAATACTTATTATTGTTATGTTTTTTCCAACTATGTGCCAGACATTTTGATAGGTACTAGGGGATAAAAAGATGCAGTTTCTGCCACCAAGTGCAGTCAAGCTTCTGTACGTTTTAGAATAAGGGCTTAAATCTTAAAAACTTGTATTTCTTTTTATTACTGTTGCATAATAGTCCATTATATTGTCTTTCAGAGAGCAGTACAATTTTTTTATTTAGATACCTTTTTTAAAATTTTTTTTTTTTTTAAGATTTTATTTATTTGCGAGAGAGAGAATGAGAGACAGAGAACATGAGAGGGAGGAGGGTCAGAGGGAGAAGCAGACTCCCTGCTGAGCAGGGAGCCTGATGTGGGACTCGATCCCGGGACTCCAGGATCATGACCTGAGCCGAAGGCAGTCGCTTAACCAACTGAGCCACCCAGGCGCCCTAAAAAATTTTTTTATTGTTACGTTAATCCCCATACATTACATCATTAGTTTTAGATGTAGTGTTCCATGATTCATTGTGCATAACACCCAGTGCTCCATGCAGAACGTGCCCTCTTTAATACCCATCACCAGGCTAACCCATCCTCCCACCCTCCTCCCCTCTAGAACCCTCAGTTTGTTTTTCAGAGTCCATCAACTCTCATGGTTTGTCTTATTTAGATATCTTTTACACAAACAAGAATAGTGATTTTTGAGCCCTAGATCAGAGAAAGAGAGAGCAATTGAGAGTTAAGACATTCATTATTTCAGATGGCTTCCAGGAACACTTGTATCCCTATTTTGAGTCTTCATTAGGATTCCCTGCTTACTCATGACATGGGGCTCTTAGATGGAAATGTTTCTAGGAACAGGTCAACTTTAGTTGTGGGCACTGTGCCTTTCTATAAGATACTGCTGTGTTGGAAGAAGCATGTGCCTCTTCTAGTATGTTTTCATACGAGTATATGGCATTATTTTCATTGCCTCTCGCTGTGCACTCTTTTGACTGTTGGACTGTTCTTTTTTTAAAATTTTTTAAAATTTTATTTATTTGACAGAGCGAGAGCGGGAACACAAGTAGGGGGAGTGGGAGAGGGAGAAGCAGGCCTCCCGTGGAGCAGGGAGCCGGATGCGGGGCTCGATCCCAGGAGCCTGGGATCATGACCTGAGCCGAAGGCAGACGCTTAACGACCGAGCCACCCAGGCGCCCCTGTTGGACTGTTCTTTTTTTAACTTTAATCATTGGAAAACTTTTAAATTTTTGTTGAATTCTGTACTTTATATGAATTTCTGAAAATCACTGAACTAGCCATTTTTTGAAGCAGCAACCTTGTCCTCACTCCTGCTCTGGGTTATTATATTCTTGCAATATTATAATTATTACCTTCGTTTTTCCACTTTTAATGTAGTCGTGGGGTTTCCCATTAGAGTGTGTGTGCGTATGTGTAGTTTTGATATTAGAAAATCAGTAATTCTGCTTTGGAGATTTGAATACCTCATATTATCATTAACTAGAATTTTTCTCAGACTAGTACAGAGAGCAGATAGCACTTTTTAAAAAAAAAAATGTTTTTGGCTTTACTGATCTGTGTGAAGTAAAATAATTTTATCATGTTCTTAGCAGACCTGAAGTAAGAGATTAGAGATGAGGGTAAAGGTTGCTACCTATGAAACACATGTAGTTTTTGTTTTTTTTTAAACACGTAGTCTTATAACTTTTTTTTTTCTTTATGATGTTTGTTTTTTTGACAGAGAAGAAGAGCTGTCCTGCCACAGACCCGATATGTGGAGCTGTTCATTGTCGTAGACAAGGAAAGGGTAGGATTGGTGACAGTTTTTCTTCTTTTTCATGAAAAGCAGATGAGAAGTGAGCATCCCATGAAGGAAACATAAAATATAATATATTTGTATTGATTTTTCTTAAATGTAATTTTAAAACTAAAATGGCTTTTTTCTTTTAAACATGCTTGATGTTCATAATCCCACCAGAAGCTGAACATAGCAAATGAGAATACCTCTAACTATTTTTTACTGGTGATTTCCCCCCCCCCGTTCTTTTGGGTGATTTGCTTATGTACACTTTCTTCATTGCCCTTCAGTTAGGGTCACCTTTTCAGATGACTTTAAAGGACTGTGATGAAAAATCAGCTAATCAGATACTGCTTTGTCACCTAATGAAATTGCTTTGCTTTTTAGAATTTCAGCTAACTTATATATACTTCACTATAAGAGGCAGAAACTTCTGGGTCGTGGCATGCTTTAGAAGGGAATAGAGGAGAATAGTTGATTTTAGCATTTACTATTAATTTCTGTGTCCAGGATAACACCAGGGATTTTCCTTATTCATATTTAAGAATTGTGCTTAACTTAGCTAAGAAAAATAATGGGTCTATTTCAGCATTTACAGGGTTATCAGTTTTAGATACAGCTGTTACATAATTTAACATATAGATTATTTGAAATATTTTGTCTGACTTTTACTTCAACTTTGTTGTTTGTGTGAAAAGAGTTGTTTGTAGAAACTTAACAATATTGGCAGTTCCTTTCTTATAAGCAGCAGAGACCGTTTAGAGGATTTTTATGGTTTTAAAAAAAATCCCTTATTGTGTATAGGTTGGAAATAAACAAGCTGTATTTATTAACAGATAGAAACGTATTCAGATTTGTTCATTATAGGTTCATTACCCTCAAGTGGTAGAAGGAAAAAGCACAGGGAGTATGGCCAAGCATGAACTTTACCCTGATAATGGATAAAAGGTTTCTGGAGAATGTTTGGACAAATCAAAAATAGAGATTTGAAGTGTTTTTATTGATTACTCTCTCCAGATAGATTCATTATGTACTGGTGGAAAATGGTTCAAAATAAGAATGATTCCATTTTAGTCAAACCTTATCAGATATATTAAATTTTTTTGTTTAGGAGTATCATCATAAAATGCGTGACTGATAAAAGGTCTGATTTATTCTGATATTAATGCTCTTATCTTAGAGCAAAACCATACATTCTTTTTAAAATTTCTTTTCATTAGTTCTTTAGTTGGTTGTAATAAAATAATGTTAAAATGAACATTTGGATTTAGCCAGGTCTTGAAGGAAATCATCAGTCATATCAGCTGTTTGTTTTAATATAAACTTTTAAATATCTATTTTATCTACATATAATGTCTGTTGGTGAACATTGGTTAATCTCTCATTAATTTAGCCCAGAGTTTAGAAATTGTTTATTGGTAATGTCTTTAGCCTAAGGGATGAAAGGGTCAAGAAATCTGTTAGATTGTTTTTATTCCTTTATCTGTGCATTTTGATTGTTTTAAACACTACCTTTATAAACTGTTCGAAAACATTTTTGCATTAAAATGAATAAAAAGAACATTAAAGAGAATTAATTTTAAAATTATGCTAATTTGGAGCAAATAAAGACTTCAGTATGTTTTCCTTATTATCCATTTCACACTTGAACCTGTTTTTCTTATTCCTATTAATCACTGAAATGTATCCTTTAGATTTGTTAATTTGAAAGGCAGGTGAGTGTCTAAATGCCTCCATTTTTAGTTCAGAGGAAATATTTGGGATTCTTATCTTCATTATAACAGATTTTAGAAATTTTTTTCATAAATGACTTTGGTGAAATGATTTTCCTTTCTTGCTTTTCAGTATGACATGATGGGAAGAAATCAGACTGCAGTGAGAGAGGAGATGATCCGTTTAGCAAACTACTTGGATAGTGTGAGTTGTATTTTCTATTAACTGGGATTATTCTAGCCTGTCTTTTCATAGTCTCAGAACAGAATTTAAAAATTGTCTCATTTGAGTTCTGATTATCCTAGGGACTCAGTCTTTCAGGGGTCTGTTTCTAGTTTGTTTTGTAACATTTTTTATGTTTGAAAGGAATATATAACTGTAGAAAGACTGAGACAAGTAAGAGATTTCATATCAGCATCTATTTTATACTCAGTGTAGAAAGGGTAAGGAACTTTGGCATTTATGAAAAGATATTTGAATTTTTACTCAATCTTACTTTGATGAAGGCTGCCTCCTACTCTGAAACCATGATATGACAGTGTGTGTGTGTGTGTGTGTGAGTGCGAGAGGGAGAGCAAGAGGGAGGGAGGTAGAGAGAGAGAAATTTGGTTTGAGACTTCGTAGTTCATTCATCCAGTGGGAGATATTGAAGAATTAGATGCATGTTCTTATAAGATAATTTCATCTATAAGGTATTTCCCTGTTGTGAATATTAAGCATAATAATAATGATGAGGACAGTAGTGTTCTCTTGAGCATTTATATAATATGCTAGAAACTGAGCCAAGTGCTTTACATTTATTGTCATTTATTCCTCACAGTATCTCTATGAAATAAAAATGAGTTCCATAGTGCACTATCTGAAACCTTTGGGGTATGTGTAATTAGAATTTTAGGTAAAAGTTTAGAAAGGTAATATGGTTCACCATGTATTGCATAACAGGATCTTCTGGTAGCTCTTTGTAATCAAACTCACTGATATTCCTATAGTGAAATGTATGAGTATTTATATTAAGTGAGATACGTATGGACCATAAATAGATTTACATTAGTTTAGGGCAATTTGGAAGCCAAATTTACCAAAAACTTAAAATTTTCAGTTTGTCAGATTTTGGAGTGGAAGATAAAAACAATTTTGAACTTCTATTACTTTTATTTTGTGGATGAGGACACTGAGACTCTTCAGAGGTTAGAGTCTCATTATATTGAACGAAATGTATTTTTTGGAGGGGAGGAGTCCTGTTTTTATTTCAAGTAGTTGTGTTACTTCATCATAAGTTAAAAGATACTCTTGTATTCTTTAATATATTTTATAGACTTTTATTTGTTTTCTTCCTAGATGTATATTATGTTGAATATTCGAATTGTGCTAGTTGGACTAGAGATTTGGACAAATGGAAACCTGATCAACATAATTGGAGGTGCTGGTGATGTGTTGGGGAACTTTGTACAGTGGCGGGAAAAGTTTCTCATAACACGTCGGAGACATGACAGTGCACAGCTAGTTTTGTAAGTGATTTTAAGAAAAGTGCTATTAATGAAATGATCAGAACAGTAACTTTCGCTTATTTTCTTTTATTAGAATCATGTTTTCTTAAGGTTTTTGAGCATTCGTCTGAATAAGGAGAGCTTTGTATGATACCCCACAAGTCACAGTATGATAATGAGACTTCCCTTCTGTGTTGGATTCCCTGTCACCTTTATTCCATGTCCTTCCTCTTTCTTGGATTTTACTTGCTGACCGTGGTATGGCATGTTTTCTAGTTTCTTCTTGTGAAAGAATATATGGAAAGAAAAAATTTTGACCCTTGCATGTCAGAAAATGTGCTTCACTGTCTCAGAATAGAATTTAAAAGTTACATCCGTGTGACCTCTGATTACCCTAGGGCCTGAGTGACTCAGTTTTTCAGAGGTGTGCTTTACAGTTTGTTTTGTAACTTTTTTGATTATTTGGCTGTGTGTAAAATTCGAGGCATGAAGTCTTTTTCCTTCAGAATTTTGAAGGCATGGCTCTTTCTTTTGACTTCCAGTATTACTGTTGAGAAGCCTTAAGCCTTTCTGATTCCTGATCCTTTGTGGGTTTGTTTGTTTTCCTCCTTCTCTGGAAACTTCTAGGATCTTCTCTTGGTCCCCAAGCTTCTGAATTGTCCTGATGATATGCTTCAGTGTAGGTCTTTTATCACTCATTGTGTTGTGTTCTTAGTGGGTAACTTCAATCTTGAGACTGATGTCTTGCAGTTTTAGGAATTTTTTTCTAATTATTTTGTAGATGACTTGATCCTCTTTATTTTTGTTCGCTATTCCTTCTGGGGTTCCTTTTATTTGGTTGGCTGTTGAGTTTTCTTGTGCTTATCCTCTAATTTTGTTATCTTTCATCTCCTTTCTTTTTGTCTTTTTGTTCTACTTTCTGGAATATTATTTCCTTAAATTTTTCTTCTAAGCTTTCTATTGAGTTTTCTATTTCTGCAATCTTATTTTTAATGTTCTGTAGATCTTTTTGTCCCCTTTAATTTATATAGTCAAGTTCTGATTTCATGGATATAGTAATTTTTTTATTCTCCTTGGGATCTTGCTGATAGATGTTTTTAAAATTTTCTTCTTTTACATAGCATTTCCACGGTACCATAATAAAACTTAAACTTATATAAATCACTTAATACAAATACAGTTCAAAACTTAAAGCAAAATCCTCATTTAAAACTATTTGAAACATTTCATCCTTCTTAAAAGTTTTCTGGCTTGAGGGATTGCAGTTTTGAAGGCCTTAGCCTGCTGCAGCCTCCTTTGCTTGGCAAAGCAATAAAGCTATTGCTCCTCTTTATCCCCCCCAAACACCCTACCCCCCCCGCCAAAGTTTTCTAACTCGATAGGCTGGCTTTTTGCAGAAAAATGTTCTAATTTATATATTTTTGCTTCCCTCGGTGTTGATGGTACCTAAAACTCATAATTTTTTTTCTTTAAGATTTTATTTATTTATTTGACAGAGAGAGACAGCAAGAGAGGGAACACAAGCAGGGGGAGTGGGAGAGGGAGAAGCAGGCTTCCCGCCGAGCAGGGAGCCCAGTGCGGGGCTCGATCCCACCCAGGATCATGACCTGAGCCGAAGGCAGACGCTTAATGACTGAGCCACCCACGTGTCCCTAAAACTCTGAATTTTTTTCTGAGGAAAAATTTCCCTTGTGTTGAGGTTAATGTAGAACATGAAATCATCCATAATACCTGGCTTGCTAAAATGTAACACGGAGGCCGCTGGAGGCAGGGAAGGTTTCAGAGAAGGGCCTCGGCCTTTGGACTGCTGGGGCCTGCGTGACCACTCTGCCATGACCACTCTGCTGTAGGAATGCCTCTCGGAGTTCCCCGAAGCTTTTTAGCCCAAACAGCCACCCTGGGATCTAAGAGATGTATGCATTGTCCCTTAGGCTATGTTTAGCAGAACTCGTAGAACAGGCAGATTAGCATATCGTATCTTTCCCGTAAACAGATCCTCCTAGTTCCAGCAAGACCCCTTGTCACACATCACATGCTTGAGAAAGAGTGATAAAGATTTATGATTCTCCTGAAGGACCAGTAAAGGCGGGAGCAAAGAAGAGCAAAGGGTCTTGTCTCTGAGCGTTGACCCCCTTGCTTTCTCCTCTCTTTCACAGCGAAGTTTGGAGTCATCTTTCATCCGTCCACACAGGGAATGCTGGCCATTCCCCTCACCCTTGATTTTCTTTTGTTTTCTTTTGTTATGTGAGTTATTCATTAATTAATTTTTAAAAAGATTTTATTTATTTGACAGAGAGAGACACAGTGACAGAGGGAACACAAGCAGGGGGAGTGGGAGAGGGAGAAGCAGGCTTCCCGCGGAGCAGGGAGCCCAACTCTGGGCTCCATCCCAGGACTCTGGGACCATGACCTGAGCTGAAGGCAGACGCTTAACGACTGAGCCACCCAGGCGCCCCTTATGTGAGTTAATTTAAAGCAAGGCAGTGAAAATGCCAAAGTGGATTTTTATAGCCCTTTTTATGAATTTTTAGTTAAATTACACCTGCAAGTATCCTCCTGCCAGTGGGCATGCCTTCTAGTTCACAAAGGACCAGAAGGGACAGGCATCTAGCACATTTCTCATGCCTTGCCCAACCAAACCTACCAAACTGTCTTTGTCTTTCCTGTCTGTATCCACTTGTCATGTAGAGGCATTTCCCAAATGTCTGTCTAATGATCCCTGGTTGTGTTTTTGGTTAAGAATGGGGTACTAAAGGGGCGCCTGGGTGGCTCAGTCGTTAAGCGTCTGCCTTCGGCTCAGGTCATGATCCCAGGATCCTGGGATCGAGCCCTGCATCGGGCTCCCTGCTCGGCGGGAAGCCTGCTTCTCCCTCTCCCACTCCCCCTGCTTGTGTTCCCTCTCTCGCTGTGTCTTTCTCTGTCAAATAAATAAAATCTTAAAAAAAAAAAAAAAAGAATGGGGTACTAAAGAGCCTTTTGGAAGCATTGGATACATGAGTAGGGCCTGGGGACTATGGCATTAAGTAGAGGGTGATCTGGCTAAAGTGTTTCCTTGGCAATCCCCTTATGTCAGTATCTCTGGCCCTCTTCTCCTTGCTGGTCAGATGCCCCAGAGAAAGATTTATTCATTCATTTATAATATATTTATTAGGTGTATACCCTAGGCACTGGGGATAGCAATGAATAAAGAAGACAGAAATTCTCTATTTTTAAAATGTTTTAAATTTTTAAGCAGGTTTATTGAGGTGTGATGGATGAAGATTAAACTGCATATATATATTTATTTATTTATAAAGATTTTATTTATTTATTTGACAGCGAGAGAGACAGTGAGAGAGGGAACACAAGCAAAGAGAGTGTGAGAGGGAGAAGCCGGCTTCCCACTGAGCAGGGAGCCCGATGATGTGGGGCTCGATCCCAGGACCTGGGATCATGATCTGAGCTGAAGGCTGAGCCACCCAGGTGCCCCTAAGCTGCACATAATTAAAGTGTACATTTGGAAGAGTTTTGACATATGTATATAGCCATGAAACTATCATCATGATCAAGATAACAAACATACCCATTCCCTCCAGGCTCCTTTGTAATCCAATCTCCTCTCCCCTCCAAAAAAAAAAATTCCTTCCCCAAGCAACCACTAATCTTTTTTTCTGTTAATGTGGGTTAATTTCCATTTTCTAGAATTTTCTGTAAGGGAACTCATATAGTTGTACTGTGTTTGTCCAGATGAAAATTCTTGCCTTCATGGAGTCCCTATTCTGGTAGAGGAGATTAGCCATAAATGAGATAAATGAATGTGTATAATACATTAAATACTAATAAATGGTAAGGAGGAAAAATAGAGCAGGGAGGGTAGAAGTAAAAGTATAGGAAGAGTGTAACTATACTTATGGTGGTGAGCATTTCATAATGTATATAATTATCTGATTACGTCTGAAATTAATATATCAATGATTTCAATTAAAAAAATGGGAAAATGAAAACGTATTGATCTGCAATGAATTGGAAATTAAAGAAAAAATTACTGGCCCTTCCCTACAGTTTGAAAAGCACTGCCTGAGATGATGCATAAGGCTGAATTCTCCGTCTCCTTGCCTTTGGTTTAGCCACTTAAGGCCAAGGGCGGGCATCTGCCTTTCTCATCTGAAGGAGTTGCCTGCCTTGGCTTGCTAGTGGAGACTGGTACAGAAAGAACCATCATGAGCTTGGGCATGTCACATGGCCTCTGTCATCTATAAATTTGTGATAATGAAACTAGATATACAACACAGTGTCTTGGGTTCTAATTTTCTATCATCATGTGAAGGAATAAGTACCTCATTTTCCTGTAGGTGCATGTTTCTCAGGAAGGTTAAGGTTACAACCAGTGAAGCTCATATTCTGACTCAGAGTCCAGGAAGTGTTTGAAGAAACTTAGTAGCCACAGTTTTTGTTGCACTGTAGGCTCAGCTTCTGGTGACATGAAGACAGATTTCTTTTCTTGCATTTCTCCCTAATTAGAATGTGGTTACCTGGCTACAGGGGAGAAAGGGCCAGGATGGTATAGCCATTGAGGGTGGTAAATGTGGAATCAGATAGCATTATGTCAAACCACAGCTTGGTGACCTAACAGCTGAAGATACAACTTCCCAGGGTCTCAGTTTCTTACTCTGTTCAGTGGGCCCAATAATTTTATCTAGTAGGATAAAAAAATTCAGGATCAAATGGGATTATTTTTGTAAGGCACTTGTGAAGGCTTATAGAACATTTTAAATACATTGTGTTGTTATTATTATGCTTTTCTATTCAATAAATAGTGGAGCACCTGCCAAGAAAAAAAAGTATTGGAGGAGTCAGGTTGGCATGGTGAGGGAAGGCCTCGAAGAGAAGACTTGTGAGTAAAGACTTGAAGGAGGTGAGGGAATCAGTTAGGAGTATTTACTGGGCAAAAGAGTTCTAGGTGGAGAAAATAGGTTTTGAGATACAAGTGTGTCAGGGATGATTGGGAACCATATGGAGGCCATTGTGGTTCTTATGTCCCCATGCTCCCTGCTTTGCAGCCTCCTATGTGTGTTATGTTCATTGAGTGTGTTACCTGTCTCTCCTCATTAGAATTTTTGAATAAGTAAATATAATGCATTTTAGGAAGATTTTTCATCTAGAGGGTAGGAAAAAAAAACTTGGCTTAGTATCTAAAACATCTTCATTTGTCTGAAAAATGAATTTGTGTTCGGGGCGCCTGGGTGGCTCAGGCATTAAGCGTCTGCCTTCGGCTCGGGTCATGATCCCAGGGTCCTGGGATCGAGCCCCACATCGGGCTCCCTGCTCGGCAGGAAGCCTGCTTCTCCGGCAAATAAATAAATAAAATCTTTAAAAAAAAAAAAGAATTTGTGTTATTAATCTTGTTCTCTGAGAATAAAAAAGAAATAAGACTTAATTGTATTCTGATTTTAAGATGTCAATTATCTTTGCCATTTTTCTCCCAGTCTTTGTAGGTTCGACCAGCCCAGTTTAAGCTTATCCAAAGAAATAAGAGCAGTGTGTTCCTTTTACCCCCCCAAGTACATTTTCTAACTTTGACCTTGTATTTTCATTTAGGAAGAAAGGTTTTGGTGGGACTGCAGGAATGGCATTTGTGGGAACAGTATGTTCAAGGAGCCATGCAGGCGGGATTAACGTGGTATGTTTTTGTTCTTGATATTTAACTTTGGACGTTTGTGTCAGGACAGTGTCAAGCATTTGACCACGTACTTCCTCCCCTAGTCCTTAAAACAATATTTTGGGTAGAAGTGGTAGACGTGGTTTTTCTTTAGAGACTGGATTAAGTTTTCTAATATTATGTGTTTATTAGCTCCTCACTTTTTATGGACAAGGAAGTTGAAACCCCATTAAAGAAAATTAAATTAGAACCATGAATCTGTTTTCCCATAAATCATTGCAAATAACTTATTAGTGCTAAAGTAATTGGTCTGTTGCTTAAAGGATCTATCTCCATGTCATATCAGTTTCCTAGTGAAATGTATGAAGACTGATGTTGGATGCTTGATTTGTCATGAAGACTGTCACCATTGTAGTGATTAATTTCCTTTTGTGGAAAAAATAATAAACATATCCTTTTTGTTCAGAAACCTAATTAATACTTACCTGTGTTTGGGCAGTTTGGGCAAATCACAGTGGAGACGTTTGCATCCATTGTTGCTCATGAGTTGGGTCATAACCTTGGAATGAATCATGATGATGGCAGAGATTGTTTTTGTGGAGCAAAGAGCTGCATCATGAATTCAGGAGCATCGTGAGTAACTGAATTCTTTCTTCTTGTTCTTGTCCTTTTTTTTTTTTTTTTAAGATTTTATTTATTTATTTGACAGAGAGACACAGTGAGAGAGGGAACACAAGCAGGGGGAGTGGGAGAGGGAGAAGCAGGCTTCCCACTGAGCAAGGAGCCTGATGCGGGGCTCGATCCCAGGACCCTGGGATCATGACCTGAGCCGAAGGCAGACACTTAATGACTGAGCCACCCAGGCGCCCCTCTTCTTGTTCTTCTTAATGTGATATCCTAGCTCAGTGTTTCTTAAACTCTGTGATGTTCTCATGTCTATGTTGAAAATTATTCCTGGCTTCTCTGAAATGAATTACATGATACACCAATGAGAAGTTGTTTTTTTAATTAAATAAATGATTCCAGAGAGCTTTAAGAGAGAAATATTTGTGTAGGCACAGGTTTGGAGCTACACTCTTGTGCAAATTGACACACCAAAAGAGTATAAGAACATGGAAGAATTTACATCTGAATTAGGAATTAGGAAAGGGTTTCTATTAGATATAGTGGAGGTTGGATTAGATTGAAAGACTATATGAAGCGTTTACTCATAAATCCCTTCTTGAGAAAGTGCTTCATTGTCACTGTAAATAGAAGAAATCTTGACATAGTCCTACTAACATCTCTACTTTTATAGATAAAGATGAGAGGCACGACAAAGAGGAGGAGGAAGAGTTAACATTTATTGAATGTTATTTATGTATTAGGCACTGTTCTAAGCACTTAAAATGCCTTAATCTTTAATGCTCAGCAACCTAATGAGATGTGGGTATCTCTAGTTAAGGATAAAGAAGGTGAGGTTACACATCAAAGTAAGTGGTGAGGCTGGGATTTGAAGTCAAGAAGTCTGGGTCCAGAGCCTGTGATCTTAGAACCCCTTCCTTTGCCAGCGTTCAAAAGGAATTACAATAGAGGGTATACAGGTGAACAACACCACTGAGTCGTTGGGCTTCTTTTTAGTGAGGATTTGTCGTAAGGGAACAAGGAGGCAGTAACGCTAAGTAGAGAGCTAGACATACACAATGTATATGTGAGTAGAAGCTGAGCTAGAGAAAGAATTAGATGTGGAAGATGTTCATCTTTTCCAAACACAGATGAAGATTTCATACAGGGAATATCCACAGCCCCAAGTGTTCATTTCCTTTCCTACCTCTCTCAAGTTCCTGGAGCAAGGAAAGAATAACAAAAACTGCTGTTAGCCAGCTCTTTATCTTCAGATCTGAAAGTACAATTCTAATTAAATCGTGGTGTAAAGGAGAGCACTTGAGCGGAATTTGCTGCAGGATTTACCTGTTTCTGAGCAATTACTAGGCTGAAAAATAGATATGGAAGAATTAGAACAGTGTTCATTAAAAAAAAAAAACTATACTTAATGAAAAAAGTAATTATATTCACAAGAAAAGTCTTATGTTTGTAAAAGAGTTCCTGTAGGAGGGGGAAGTAAATTTAGCATTTGGTTTGGCTGGGAGTGAAGTTGAGGAAGATATGAATTGAGGGAACAAGAAATGAATAATCAACCATGAGATAAGACAGGAGACTAAGATGAAAACAGTGGCATGCAGAGTTAGGAAAGAATGTTCTTAAACAGTGCTATGGTGGAATTTAAAGTTGTGTAAGAGGCAGTGAAGAATGGACCCATATTTTATTCATTCATGTATCAAGTATTTATTTATTCATTCATTTTTTAATTTTATTTTTTTAAGTTTTTTTATTGGAGAGAGAGAGAGCTTGCACATGTGCAAGTGGGGGGCAGGGGCAGAGGGAGATGGAGAGAGAAACTTAAGCAGACTGCACTGAGCACAGAGCCTGACTCAGGGCTCCACCTCAAGACCCTGGGATCATGACCTGAGCTGAAACCAAGAGTAAGACGCTTAGCTGACTGTGCCACCCGGGTGCCCCTTATCAAGTATTTATTGAGTGCTGACTTGGTGCTAGACTTTGTTTTAGGCACTTGCAATATCTCAGTGAATTAGATAAAGACTTGCCCTTAATGGAGTTTACATTTTAATGGGGGAAGACAAACTAGTAATGTAATAAATATATCAATAATATGGAATATTAGAAGGTGATAAGTGCTATGGAAAATAAAATAGAGCAGCATTGGAAGATTGGGAGGGCCAGAGTGGTGGTGGTGGTGGTGATGGTAGAGGTTAGTTACAATTTTAGATTCGTATTGTCAGGGTAAGCTCCTTTGAGGTGATGTTAGACTAAGTACTTGAAGGAGATGAGTAGAAAGCTGTGGGGATATCTGCAGGAAGAGCCAAGTATGAAGGAAGAAGTATGGTTAGGATGGACTTTTTTTCAAGATGCAAGAAATTATAGCAGGTTTGTATGCTCATAGGACTAATTTAGTAGAGGGGTAAAACTGGTGATCTAGGACAGAGAGAGAAACATTGCGGTAGTTGACCTTGAGTGGGTGAGAGGGCATGGGATCTGGGGCACAAGTGGATGGGTTTGTTCTAATGGAGCTCTGGGTATCTATAGTAATAGGAATAAATGGATGTAGCTGCTGGAAATGGATAGATGTAGTGGTGGGAGTCTGTGGTTCAGTTTTTATTTATTTTTATTTTTTATTGTTATGTTAATCACCATACATCATTAGTTTTTGATGTAGTGTTCCATGATTCATTGTTTGTGCATAACACCCAGTGCTCCATGCAGAACGTGCCCTCTTTAATACCCATCACCTGGCTAACCCATCCTCCCACCCTCCTCCCTTCTAGAACCCTCAGTTTGTTTTTCAGAGTCCATCGTCTCTCATGGTTCGTCTCCCCCTCCGATTTCCCCCCCTCATTCTTCCCCTCCTGCTCTCTTCTTCTTCTTTTTTTTTCTTAACATATATTGCATTATTTGTTTCAGAGGTACAGATCTGTGATTCAACAGTCTTGCACAATTCACAGCGCTCACCATAGCACATACCGTCCCCAGTGTCTATCACCAAGCCACCCCATCCCTCCCACCCCACCCCCCACTCCAGCAACCCTCAGTTTGTTTCCTGAGATTAAGAATTTGTGGTTCAGTTTTGTTAGTGAAATAGGAAGTAGGTTCATCAGCTGAAAGATGAAGACTTTGAGGGGGCAGTGGTTGGGGATTTCAGGAGATAAGAGAAGGTATGAAATAGTTGTGTGGCAGAATGGGAGGATAAATGGAGTAGAGTATGTTTCCTGGGCCGTTTTAAAGGGTCACTTGAGATTCATAGTCATGAATTTTAAGTGAGATTAGTTTGTGGTTGTGGGTTTTTGTGCAGCCACATTCAACTGCATAGGTACATAAGAGAGTTGATGTTAACCAGGTTGTAGTTAGGCCAAATACAATGAAGTAAGAGAGGTGCAAGGAAGTCAGATCTGTTTGCATAGGAGTAATTATCATGATGGACCATGACATTTTAGCTGGATAAGGCTTAGGAAAGGGAGGACATCAAAGGGATAAGGGAAGTGGAAAGGGAAAACTGCAGATGTCCTGGTGGGATTAAAGTTATACTGGAGTATAAAGGTGTACCTGGGGAGAGTAAGATGGGTAAAGTTGAGATTATAAATTATAGTAATGGTAAAATGTCCATTAAAAGCATGGCAATGAGTGGTTGAACGGTGGAGGATTAGATCTTTGGAGGAGAAGAGTTCAAGCCATGGAGAGCCCAAGGGATTAATAGGGTTATCTACCTGTATATTGAAATCAGCAAAAATTAAGACAAGAATTGTGTTAGCGTGACAATGTTGGTGAGAAGGACATGAGAGGGAGTAACTCAGGGGTTGGTATGTTAGTAATAAAGGGTAGTGGGTAGTTTAATTTTATGAGATTCAGAACTGGGAGATTTTAGGAAGGAGTGAGAAAGAATGGCCTAGAAGCAGCAATATGGAGAAAGAACACTCACTGACTCTATCTCTAGTTGTATGAGGGTTCTGGGAAAAAGCTGCTGGCCTTTGAGAAGGTTCTAGTGGAAGCTGTGAAATCCGGGAATAGCTGAATTTCAAGTAGAGCTTGACAGTGAGACTTTCAGAGAAGAGTTTGAGGTTATGGGAGTTTTTGCGGATGATGGGCTGTGAATGCCAGGATGCACAGTGAGGGAACAGGAGGGAGATAAGGGCCTACACAGAGAGCTACAGCTACCTATGGTGATAAATGTAAACAGGATTAAAGGACATAAGGAGATTTGTCCTGGGAGACTCAAGGCAGGGAGTGGTGCTGCAGCTGCATGTGTTAGGAAATGGAGAGGGGGTGAAGTGTTTGGGATTTCCTCTTGAACAGTGGATCCAGGAGGTCTAAATTTATCTCACTCCTAGCATAGGAACTCATTTTGGCCCTGGTTGGGTAACTCCTCCTTAATGCCTGTTCAAAAAAGATCTGTAAATCAATCTTGATAAGCTTTCCCAGACTGCAAGGGGAAAGGACAGAGATTAAAAGTTAGAAAGATGGAATAGATGTTGAGAACACAGTGGAAAGAATGTTTTTTGGGCCATTGGATTTAGTGGAGGGGCAACTAGAACAAATGGAATTTGAAAGAAAATATATAATATTAAAAAAAGTAAAAACAACTGAGCGGGGGAGGTATAAAATCACAGAAAATTGGAGAAATAGATGTCTAACTGCATTTTAAATTGCTATAATAATGACTTCAAGGTAGAATTGAAAACAGGATGCACATTTCTAATTCGCAAGGATGGTTTTTTTTTTTTAAGTAGGCTCCACACCCAACGTGGGGCTTGAACTCATTACCCTGAGATTAAGTGTCACATGCTCTACTGACTAAGTCAGGCAGGCTCCCTAAGCCAAAAAAATTTTGGAGAAAGTATGCAACATAGAAAAAAAAAGCCCAAAAGAACATTTAAGGTGTTACAAAATACAAAGTATAAGATATAATAATTTAAGGCCAAATAAAACAGTTTTGACAAATATATGGAATGCTTCTCACACTAGGTCTCAAAACACTATTGTAATTAAATGTTTTATCTAGGAAACATACCTGAGACAGACTC